ATATATATATCAGTGGCAGTTAAGTCGACCTTTTTGTAAATTACATGCGTTGCACACCTATCCGTGGTCGCCAGGTAGATTCTGCTTGTTCGAGGGCATGTTTGGCGTCATGTTGTACGAGAAGTATTGCGAGTGTATGCACCAAGCCATTCGTCCCTCCGTGCATCTGGTGCGACCTTTTTACAAGAGAGCTTAACGTTGGTTAAGGAGCACCTTTCAGTGGTATGTCCTGATGCATCTCAGCAGCGTGCATGGTTGGCGTGTGCCACAATTGCAGAGTACGTCGGCTAGCGCCGTATCGCAGCATATGTCAGCAACGCACACGAGTGTAGTGCGCCTGTTCACAGCGTAGCATCGAAGAGATAGCTGTGGTTGTCCCCGATGGTGATGAATGGTGATGCACCACCGCGGGTCACACGAAAGGCCGGAGTTTGTTTCTTATTCCTGGTAGTGCACGTGTAGGGTGTGTCCCTTGTGCACTGCGACAGCATACAGAGACGGAATGGCTTCATCGTTGTGCTTCTAGCACTACACACGTTATAATATGAATATGCCGATCGAGGAATACCACACCTACCTACACGGGCCAGTCTGTTGGAGCGTCATGGAGGTGCATTCGATACAGGTGTACAGTCGTTACTCTACTAGACACTGCGCACGCTACAGGACGTACGTACAAAGCGTGTATTCACACGCGAAGCAAGCGGCGACGCATATGATCATGGATCCTGAATTTACCGGCCGGATGATGGATGTGTTTACATCCGAGCTTGAGAATTTATCTAGGATATTCGTATTAGAAAGATGCGCGAGGAATGCTATGCGAAGCCTGGAAGTTTCATTGTTAACAGTCTTTGCCGTCTTGTTTATGGCAGTAAACGAAAATAATTCATACGTGCACGCAATTAAATATTCAAACCTGTATATCGTACATTAAAGAGATTGGTGACTTATTCCCGTTATCTTTTCAAGCTACGTATATTTTATATATACAAAATAGCGAGACAGTGTCAAATCGTGATATGTGGCCTATCGGCAGCACCAGTTCGTAGCCCACCGTCAAAAGTGGTCATGGGTGTGGAGATAACCCCGTTCAACGTTTCCTTGTAAACATGCCTCCCGGACGTGACGGAACTCATTGTAAGCAGAAGCGAGGAGTCGTCTGTTTACAACCCACAATTGACAACAGTCGAAGCGTGATACCGGGATTGTATGATCAGCAACAGAACACAACACTATCCTAGTAGCAAATGATTGGTATGAATGGTTTATTCGACTACATAACCTTCTGCGCACACCTCGCAATCCACATTTCAGACAATCTGCTTTCATCGCCAAGTTATGGTATGCGTCAGACCACATCTTTGAGCGAGTGGCTGTACGATGGAGCTTTTTCTCGCCTTAAAGTTGGTCAACTGCCACAGTATTTCTCTGTAAAAACTTTGGAACTCCCATGACAAATGCATCGAAACAAAACATCCATGATGGATATGACCAGCACTTCTTGTACCAAAAACTACAAACCAGAACGCTGAAGGAGGCGTACGGGCATAACATTCCCGAAATAAGATGGAAAATGTTGGGGAGTCTCGTTGCGTGCTCGCTTCACATCTCGTCTGCCGTGGAAGTGCTCTGATTTGTTCAATTGCGCATGTCCTTGTGGAACTACATTGTGTGCGATCTACTTATCGATAGTGTGAGAGATATTCGTGTCTACTGTATGTAGTCTCACAGAACGAGCCGTACTCTATAACTCCGTCATACGAGCACAGATGTGATATTGTAGTGCATGTCGTGTCTTTTCCTGAATCTGTCACGGGAACCATGCCATCGCCACCCGTGTGCATCCTCTCCAGTGTATGGAGCAGTGCGCATTCAAAGTGCACATTTGAGCTATGGAAATTAGATTGTCGTCCCGAATGTGTGTAAATTCGCATCTATTGTTTTGTTTTTGTATCTAGTATTATGGGAATACGCTTGTCTCAAAGTCTCGTCCGAAGAAATGAATAAAAGCTTTATTAAACCATACCACGACCAAACTATACTGACTAGTTCAAGTTAAAAACTCTCTACCAGTTGAATACTATGGTGCCTGCCGTATTATTCGTTTCTTAACAAAGCTACACAGTCTTTTCCCATCCGAGTGAAGTTAAACACTGAAGCCTTGTCCCGACACAACTGAAGCTATAACGCGTAATTTAACAATCAATATGCATGGTACCTCCGTACTCCCTCTCAAATCTGTGAATGGGGGTAGTCATTCTTCAGCTCAGTCCAGTGGCCGAGTCGGCCTGACATTCACATGAGCTCAAGACGACCTCCCACGTTCACAACCATACCACGAATTCCTAGAGTTTAGTTATAACTGGTGCACACCCTCCTGCTAGCCCTAGTGGTCGCATACAACCGTTTGACCGAACCTAGCCCGATTGTCGCGGAGAAGGCTCTAAGTCACAATGACATCCTGCTAATTGATTACACAACAACAAATCTGTCCGGGTCTATAGTTTTGAAACGTCATCAATGCCACTACAACACGAGATACACCACGAATCAAGATAGGTGTATATCTCTTGTGCTTGGCAACATACACTGCACGTGCTGATCTAGTTAACTGGCTCCGATCATCGGGTTGCACGAATGGCAGGACCTGTCCAACTTGTACAAAACTACAATATCGCACAACGTTCATATCCTGTTCTATCGAGCCAGCAGCTCCAGACGTTATCCAACCTTTGATATTTTTCAACTCTGAAAACCATCCGAATTCCAAAAAATATTCAGCCCGAGATCGGAATTCTCACTTCCAGACAAACCGTTCCTCGCCACTTTAAAATCAACTTTCCGTCGATGTCGAATACCTGTCTTGGTCAGTGTTGCTCTCCTTCTGATCACTTGCCAATCTCGTATAGATATATGCCTCTATCCAATTCGTACTAACGACAGCTTCATATATTCATAGTTCCAGCCAAGGATAGAAAGAGAGCAAGCCAGTTGCAGAGACACCCTACGTTGGTCTTGAAGCGCGACGTAACTCGATCATCCGGTTATGATTTTCACAAGACCAGACAATAAGCCTCTGCAAGGGAATAGTTACATCGATTATACGTGATATTAATGTGCCATTAATTCGGTGTAGTGAATACTTGATTGAATACCACAAAAGAATTGAAATGTCAATCAGACACGCTCAATAAGGACTACATAGACAGAGCCGTACGATCACTTACGCAGATGTGCTGGATTGTTCAGCCTGGCTCGTAGGCGATGTCGGTGCTCCATTGATAGCCCCTTTGTCAGCAGCGTCGATCGTGGCCGTCACGCCTTCGGTACTTGTCACATTCTTATCGCTTACACTCGCAGTAGGTGTACTTTTCAGAGGCATTGTTTGATCCGTCTCAGCTTTACCTGTTGTAGCAGCCACTGTTTTCGTATACGATGCTAATCTGTCTGCGATTGCCTGAGATGGGCCATGTGACGTATTCGTTCGTATTTCAGTCACAATTTTCTCCCATCAGAGAGCCACCTGGCTAGAACTATTAGAAGTTACTTTAATATCAACTGTGCTCAACAGTCTCGTGGCGTTCTTGTCAACTTTCGAGTATGTGTTTGATACTCGTTGGTCTGCGCGCGTCAGACTCAGAAGTTTGGATATGTATGCCCATACTTGGGTCGCATTTAACCTTGAGTCAATCGATGTTGGGTCAAGGCCTACGCTAAAAGACAACATTAATAGTAAATGATACCTACGTACCTGCTGCCTTGTAAGAAGAATGTTTGACCTACATATGAGCATACGGTAGCCCCTACTGATCTCGTTCGATCGTGTTTGAAGGAGACAGACGACGTGCACTCGAGTGTGGTCATACCTCTTGTGAGAAAACACAGGATGTGTGTACCGGTAGAGGCTTCGCGAATAATTTCGGTAAAACACACGATATTCATAAGCGAAGCGCGAGAATGTAGCAATAATGCCAATTCAGCCGCCATACATATAATATCTAGCATATGTTGTATCGTATGTCCCACGAGAATACATGCAACACTAAGGGCGACACCTCACCTTATGCGTATGCATTAAGCTTTCTTTGTCCTTCGCAACCAATTCTTCGTCATCCAAAACTGAGCAATAAAAATAATAGTATAATTTCGTACAACAGTCAACTTGTGACAAGAACCAGCGAATATCAGCTAATGCGTGCAAACAGCAGACACGACGAATTGCATGATGTGAAAGGCCGAAATTTCGTCGTCATATATATATATATATAATATATATATGTATATATATATATATTAATATTTAATATATATATTAATACAAAATAATATATATTAATACAAAATAATATATATTAATACAAAATAATATATAATAATAAATAATGTGTGTGTGTATCACACACACACACACACACACACACACACACACACACACACACACACACACACACACACATATATATATATATATATATATGTATATATATATATACATAATAATAAAAATAAAAATAATATATATATATATATATATACATACATACATACATATATATATATATATATATATATATATATATATATATATATATATATATATATATATATATATATATATATATATATAAATGCATAATTGCTATATTACTTTTCAGATATTGTCTCTCAGTGCAAGCCTGTAGTAGCTATGTACATACGGTTTCAAGAAAAATTTGTTCATAATCACATAATATTCTTTGACGTTTCTCAACTAAGTGTATTATCAACTTCAAACCTAGACTTTCACGTCAGTACCTATAAACTCAGATAGTCTTGACTTACACGGTGTAAATTCTCCGTTGTTGCGCTTCTCTCGCAGCTGATGGCACCCATATGCTGTGCTGCCAGCAATCACAAAGAAAATCAAAGTGTTGAGTGTTTCGCCAAGTCGCTGTCTAAGTGCCCGGTCCATTGTGTATAGTTTCGAATTTTAAATGGAGATATAATACAGCGTTGTATATCGCACCTGATATTCTACGTAGGCCTGTTCTACATACTCGTGTTTTATTTAGTTTTTCTCGACGTACATATGTACCTAATATTTGTTTTTCCATAGCCTCTCGTCTATGAATGAACATTTTTTTGTATACTCCACGAGAATCTCTATAAATCAAACATTTGATTTTACGTAATATTTATGTAGAAAGTATATGAAAATACCGTTTACGTTTACTCTTAACGTTTACTTTGTCCAGGTCCTGTACGACTGATGAAAGTGGGATCTCTTGATTCCGAGGTGCAATTTATAATAACTATTTCCCACACATATACTGATTATTTCGCATAGTAGGTTAGGTTCTTTCTTCCCCACATACAAGTTTGTACTAACGTATATGCCAAACTACCATAACGTAATGAGGTTTGCTCATAGGGGGAGGAGGATGGAATCAAGGTTGTCAGCGATGATTTAAGAACTTCACTTTTGATTGGACAATCTCTCCGGTGTAGTATTTTTGTATGTATGTATGTTTGACTCGTTCTAGATCATTGGCATATGTAGGCTTGTTTGATTTAGAAGGCTATGTCATAGGTTTAAGAAAAAACTATCGTATCTTTTTTCTATAAGAGAGGGGTTGTACGAATGTACGGTGTAACTGCAAAGCGCAGGACCGTCAATACTTAGTCACGCACTGCATAGAGCGCAAACAAGCGTTTGTCCATATGTATTAAGGAATTAGTTCGATTTACTTCAATAAGACGTGTATAGAATACAGTAGAATACAGCAGATATGGCTATATGGTTGGAATTATAACCACATATTCAGTATGCAGTTCAGGATATACTCAATCACCGGTATATTCCGGCGAAAAGATACACTTATAGTCCTATTTTTCATGTGTACAGTACTTTGGTTACTGCGAGGAGAACCTACTACAGCCGGCCCGAAGGGCATCGCGAGTTTAAGTAAGCGTGGAAGGAAGAATGGCGATGAGGTATGCAATTTGTGAATGTATGCCAATAAAATCGACCGGTAACATGAAATAAACCCCAACTATTTCGTACACCTAGGGTACTTAGTGTGACAGGGGTCTCGTCGCTATTGATTAGGAAACGATATTCGATCTCAACAGTAACTCAGGGAGCATTTCACTGTTTATTTACAAAATCAGCAAATTC